TCAGTGTGGCTTGGCTCGGCGCCCTCTAGAGCAAGTTCAGAACTCAGGATAGATTGTGGGGTTTTTTCCTGTCTTTTCAGAAGAAGTCTTTTGTTTAACATAGGCCTTGTGGGCCAAATCTCGCAGCTGTTGGGTGGACATAGTCCGTGGGCAAGCCAGAACCCCCAAGTGGTGGCTCACTGTTGGGTGCAGGTTCCGGAGAAACAGAGTTTTGAAGTTGAAATCCTGTTCCATTCCTGGCTCGTTTCGTGCTCCGAAGTAGGCCTGTCTGAGCCTGTTGTAGTAAGCCTGTGTGGTTTCCTGTCTGCCCTGTTTAAGGTCCATGGCAGTAATCAGTCCTTGCTCTGACTCTGGGTCAGAGAACTCCTTAATCAGAGCCTGCTGCATTTGCTGGTAATCCCCTTCGACCGTTTCTGGCTGCCTGTCTAGAAAGCTCCTCACCTCACGGCTGGCGGTGATTCGGAGCAGATAGAGTCTGTCTCTTGTGGTAACATTGGCAACAGTTTGCAAGTGAAAGTCAATGTCTTTTAAGTAGGCGTGCACATCGTGGCCCCCTGCAGGGTTTGGAGTGAAAGTGGGAATGTTTCTAGCCAGCTTATCCAATTCTTTAGGTGACACGCCATGACTGGAAGACAGCCTTTGAAAAGGCTCCCACCCCCTTTCTGCTGCTGGGGGTTCAGGGATGCTGGCAGGTGAAGTCTTGAGCAGTGGGCTCTCACCCCCCTCTCGAACTGGAAACCCTTGACTAGCTGGTATCAATTTGCTGGTTAGGGGAAATTCTGTGGTGTGCATTCCCCTTTCAGAGTCACTTTGCAGTCTATATGCATATTTAAGCTCTCTGTGAACTCTTGTGTCTACACGGAGATCAGTTAAGGCTTTCTGGAGTCTCTCTACTTCCTCCTGCAGCTCTGGGTCCTTTTCATCCGCCGTCCTGTGCTGGTGCTGAGTCTCCGACGTTAGCTGGTCCAGTTGACTTTGAGCAAGCACCAGGTTTCTCTGAGCCTCCTCAGCCTGGAGCTTCAGCGCTGCTGCTTCCTGTTCCATGCGGGAGATGCTTGTTTCTCCCAGCTTTGCCTGAGCGAGGAGGTTGTGGGCGAGGGGCCCGATGATCTTGGTGAGATCTTTGTGGCTGTAGTCCTGTGTCGGATCGTGTGACATCAGGGTGCTCAGGTTTACAAAACAAATTAGAGTACCAAGTCGACCTAGCAGAGAATACCCACAAGGGGGAGTGGGTGCACCCACCCAAGGTGAAAACAGGAAGGTAGAAGGAGTTCAAGAAATGTTAGATACTTAAACAGCCTGCCCTCTAGCGTTAGTTTAAGGTACTGTGC